TTTGTACGCACACAAACTCTCGCATATACCACTGTTTTTATGTTTTGTCAATAATATTTGTTTTTAACTTGGTATTGCTCTTTTCTTCACAATATTAAAAAAGATTAAGTTATGACGTACTCCATGTATAATGTTCGTGTAATTACATTTTTATTCACAGAGAAGTTTTATACAACAAACCTGTTAGCTCTTAAAAGGATACTGTGTTAAAATCCACATTTTATCAACATTGATATTCCTGCGAAACTGAAATTTTCATAACACATGGGTAAAGGTGCAAAGGAAAAATATATTACAAATTTGAAGACTGAGCAGTGATATAAATGGTTAACCGCCTCTGATATGAATATAATGGCAGTGTGCATGTTTTGCAATGGGAAACCCAAAATATGTGTAGGATGAAGAAGAAATAGAAGCACAACAGCAATATGTAATAAAGGTTCTATGAAAATTTTGTTCAGTGGTGTTACAGGAGTTGCGGTTAAGAGATGGGTATACCTTAAGTGTAACAAATAGATGGACAGAAATCACGATTAAAAAATTCCCTCCTGCTTTTGAAGCATGGGTATTAAAAGGACTAATGTAGGCAGGCAAGCATTATGGCTGATGCATTTTTTAGCTATTCAATGACTCTGAATGTCTTTCTCGATCATGATTGTTCCAACTCAAAAAATATGAAACAGATGTCTGTATTTGAAAATACAAACATAATAATAATTAAGACATGTAATATTGTTCACTCACTTAACCTCCCGATCAAAGATTTTATTTACACCATGTTCAACTCCCATGAGTGCTTTCAGTACTTTGATTTTAAAGGAAGTTTAGTAACGAAGGCTAAAATATTGTCAGTGTACAGTACTTTGTTGTGAAAAAAAACCTGCTCGGATTTGTTCTTTATAATGAGATATAAGCGATAAATTTAATTTTTCAAATGCGATTTCTCGCCATTGCAAAAAGCGATATCGTCATGGAATTATTTTTTATGACCCAACAAAAAATATTTTTTAAAACTTTTTGTGACAGACTCATGTTTACATATTTTGTGCACATGTGCCTAGCAATGCATCTTGCACGTGCCTCTATTCATTACTTTAATTATGCATATGTTTTTATTTGTATCACACTGCAACAGCTGAATTATATAATTGTTCATTTAATCTGCAATTAAGTGCATTGATTTTTAAATGATTCTTTTCTAGAGAGGTCCAGAGTTAGCCTTAGGGCTCTAATTTTATTCTGACCATGGCCATTTTTTATATTTTAGTTTCATTGGTTTTTTAGTGATGTCCTATGCTTTTCGATCGGTTTTTGCTTTTCCCTTCAAGTTTTCTTTTGTGTTTTTTGATCAATTCTTGCTTGGTTGCCACATATAATGGAAGTGTAGTTTTGTCATTGAGTTAACTTGTTTTACATATCAGACATTGACATTGAGACATACATTTCCACCTGCATGGTAAGTAATTCTTTCATACTAATGAGTATTGAGATTCAAATTTTGTTAGATGTGAAATCTGTAATTTTTGCACTTGAATCACTTTTTTAGACATATAAGAATATAAATAACAGTCTTGTTATTTAACATCCGACACAACACAAGTCTATTGCATTTTGATTTTCGGTATCTTTTAAAAGAAAAACACTTTTGGGATATACTTTGACAAAAAATGAAACAATTTATGGACAATATGTTTCAAGAAGAAAAACGATGAAACATTATTTTTAGATAATATGTTGTATGGCATTATTGTATCGCAACATCTATTTTTATCATAAATCTATTTTCAGTATTCGGTTTTTATACTTATTTTTAGCCTGAGGGTTTATCTCTATCTATTTTGTTTAAATATTTGTCCTTGTAATTCATCATTAACCAATGAAATTGCTGAACGGTGATCACGTGGAAGTCACTTTTGTTTTTACCCTAGTATGTGAAGGACGCTCTTAAATAAACAGAGGGATTGTTTGTGTAAAAAATTAATACTTTTGGCCGTAAACTTTAAGCAAAGTAGGAAGTGATGTACGCGGGAGGATTTGTTTTAGCTTAAAGAAGTGATATTGAATGTAAGTGCGATTATTTCCACTCATTTTAGTTTTTCTTATGTGGATTACTTAACCATCGGCGCCCGAGGTACGGACATTAATGAAACTGGTAATTAGTAAACATGGTGGATCCAGCAGTGGTGGGCATTATTGGACATTCATATGTGAGACCTTTAGAACGATTTGTGTTACAAAACTAAGTGTATAAGAACCTGTCGTTGGATGAAGACCTCTACAGAGTTTATTTTCGGGGTCTGGGAGGTTTGACAGTCCGTGGTCTGTCCAACTCGCCAAACCTATGCATGTTTCCTATAGTTCCTACAGTGTGTTTTTTGGACATCGGGAGAAATGATGTTACAACTAGTTCAGCGTTGGACATTGCCAAATACATTGTTTCGTATGTGAATTATCTTGTACATGGACTTGGTGTGGTTAACGTTGTTATTGGACAGCTACTTCGCCGCGACCCAAGGAAATCCCCGGCAGGCTACAACGGACGAGGTTTTCAAAATAAACACGCATTTGGAACTTTTAACGTCTGGACTTCTTCATGTTCACTTTTGGAAGCATAGAGGATTTTGGGCTGACTTGTCCTACCTGGGACGCGATGGAGTCCACTTGAGGGAGGAAACTGGTGCTATTCCTCCAATAATAAATGGTGAAATACATGAGGAGCATTAAATATGTTGTACATCATAGAATACAGAAATTAAAGGCCAGTAGTTATTGAATTTGTTAAGAATATTCACTTGAATGAAGTCAGGCTAATTTATGTGACTTTAAATTTTAAAAAGATTGCAAAACAGCCATAATTCATTTTATGAACATTATAAAAATATGAAGCTTAACCAGGTTCGTACAAGCCTGAGTAAGTTATAATCGCATAAATTTTAATTGTATTTTTAGGCCTGTTTGTTTTCTTAGTATTTTTATTCAGACAGGTGCAGAATTTTCTAAGTGCATTCTAATGCTTGTCTGTTTTGTAAGGAATTTTATTCAAACATGTGCAGAATTTATACTTGTCTGTTTTCTAAGTAATTTTACTCAGACATGAGCAGAATTTCTAATGCTTGTCTGTTTTCTAAGTGAATTTATTTAGACATGTGCAGTATTTATGCTTGTCTGTTTTCTAAGTAATTTTACTCAGACATGCACACAATTTCTTTGTGTATTTTGATGCTTCTCTGTTTTTTTTGTAATTCTATTCAGACATGTGCTGTATTTATGCTTGTCTGTTTTCTAAGTTTTTTACTCAGACATGCGCAGAATTTCTAAGTGTATTCTAATGCTTGTCTGTTTTCTAAGTGAATTTATGCAGACATGTGCAGTATTTATGCTTGTCTGTTTTCTAAGTAATTTTACTCAGACATGAACAGACATGAACAGAATTTCTGTGTATTCTAATGCTTTTCTGTTTTCTAAGTGAAATTATTCAGACATGTGCAGTTCTTATGCCTGTCTGTTTCCTAAGTAATTTTATTCAGAAAAATACAAAAAAATATCTGGTATAATGCTTGTCTGTTTTCTAAGTAATTTTACTCAGACATGAACAGACATGAACAGAATTTCTGTGTATTCTAATGCTTTTCTGTTTTCTAAGTGAAATTATTCAGACATGTGCAGTTCTTATGCCTGTCTGTTTCCTAAGTAATTTTATTCAGAAAAATACAAAAAAAATATCTGGTATAATGCTTGTCTGTTTTCTAAGTAATCTAAGTAATTTGTACAGAATAACAACGGAATCTCCTACAGGCAAATCATTATTTTTATAACCCATGTATAAATCATTTCAGAATAAACCATGCCTAAACGACTGACAGACTCAACACCTAACCCAACAACAAGAAGGATTGCAGCGATTGACTATGACCTGTTAGCGGCAGCTATCATCAAACAGTCTCAAAACTCTAGAAACATTAATAGTGCTTTGAACATATGTGACAACAATAGTGTGAATAGTGCAGAGGTCAATAATGATATTACTTGGGCTTTATGTGACAATACTGCTGCAAATGACAGTGCAAACAGTACCGTAGTACCTGTGTCTGAAGTTTCCATTCAACCATCATCAAACAATGTGATTCAAAAGCCAAAAATCGCTACATTTTCATCAGAGAGTCAAGACATTACAGACTCAGACATCCACTAACATTGCAAACCTAGTTAATGCATTACTACAACAAAACTCAGGTGAGCCAGCAACGTCAAAAATTAAAAATGTTATTCCCATTTCTGATGGTATTCCTCTTGGTGCTGCAACACAACAAAGGATGAAAACCAAAATCTGGGCAAACCAATTTATAAATTTAAGCATTTTGTTGCAGCAGCGAGAGGAACCAATATCCTTAAAGATTTCAACAGGTTCTGTAACAGTACAGCAAGGTTCCTCAAAACCCAAAGCTCCACTGTCTATACAGCAATGGACTGATGCCTTTTTGATATATATGGCTATTTACATTGAGAAGTTCCCAGAACAAGCTCCCCATCTATTAAAGTACTGATTTTTTATCAGGGAAATGAATAAGATGTTAGGAGATAAGGCATGGAGGGTCTATGATGAAAACTTTCGCATGTTAAGAGAATCATCGGATTTATTTTGGCAAAAACCTGTAGAAGAGTTAAGGGTTAAGGCTGCCTCAAGCAATTGTCAATCCCAGCAGCCCTTTTGTACAAATACAGGCAGCAGGTCAACCAAATTTTGTTATGCCTTCAACAATGGTGAAGCTTGTTCATATAACTCCTGTCATTTCATCCACAAGTGTCAATAATGTTCCATGTCACACGCGAGAGTCAATTGTAGAGGGCGAAAACAAAAACAAAGTACAAATACAACAACCAAATCCCAATTTAACACTTCCTTCCAACCAGCTACCATCTCCAGTCAACCCAAAAAATTTAAGTAGATTTTTAATCATTTATGACAAAGAGCTGTCCTCATACCTGATTACTGGCTTCACTTATGGTTTTGAATTAGGATGTACATCTGATCCTCCACCATGTACCCCTAAAAATTATAAATCCACATTAGAACATCCAGAAATTATTGATAACTACATAAAAACTGGTTTAAACAAAGGGCAGATTGCTGGTCCATTCCCAAACAAACCATTTCATAATTTTGTAGTTTCTCCACTTGGTCTTGTCCCTAAAGGCAATACTGGAAAATTTAGGGTGATTCATGACCTTTCTTTTCCGAAAAATCAGTCGGTTAACTCAAACATACCAAAAGAAAATTTAGCAGTCCAGTATAATTCCATAGATGAGGTAGTTGATCTGGTTAAAACTTTTGGTCGAGGTTGCTTAATGGCAAAGACTGACATTGAGGATGCTTCTCGCATTATCCCAATTCACCCGTCTGATTTACATTTGCTAGGTTTTACTTGGGAAGGTCAGTTTTATTATGATAAGTGTTTACCGATGGGTGCCAGCAGTAGTTGTCGAATTTTTGTCATTTAGTAAGGCTTTACAATGGGTCATGGTGAATGTTTTTCATGCTGCAGGTATGTCTCACATTTTAGATGATTTTTTCTTTGTTGGCCCCCCCAAATTCAATTAGTTGTTCACATGATCTTGCTAGTTTTTTATTCCTTTGCAAGTCAATTGGGGTACGTATTAAAATGGAGAAAACCCAAGCACCTACAACCAATATTGTCATATATGGAAATGAGGTAGATTCTGAAAAATTGGAATGCCGTCTTCCAGTGGATAAAATCCAAAAAAAAAATCCAGGAAAAACTACACTTATTTAGGAAGTGCAAAAAGATCACATTAAAAGACATGCAATCCATTATAGGGCTTTTAAATTTTGCATGCTCTGTGGTGGTTCCAGGGCGAACATTCCTTCCTCGATTGATAAACTTGACATGTGGCGTAAGTAATCCTAAATTTTAAATTAGATTGAATAAAGAAGCTAGGGCTAATTTGGAAACTTGGGCAATGTTCATTGATAATTATAATGGTAAATCAGTATTTTTGGACAATGCTTGGTTATTTTCAGACCATCTCAGTCTATATACAAATGAATCAGGTTCCCTTGGTTTTGCAGCTGTTTTGGGGTCACAGTGGTTTGTCAGTAAATGGCCTTCAGGGTTAGATGATTATCAAATTTGCATTAAAGAATTGTTTCCAATAGTTCTTGCACTGGAAGTGTGGTCATTTCATTTTCAAAATAAAATGGTGTTGTTCCTTTCAGACAATATGGCTGTTGTAGAGGTTATCAACAAGAAGTCTTGTAAGGAAAAATCCTTGATGAAATTGTTGCGCAGACTTGTTTAAGTGTTACTACGGTGCAATATTCATTTCCGTGCAAAGCACATTCCTGGGAAGTTGAATGTTACAGCTGACAGACTATCCCGTTTTCAATTTCAGGAAGCATTCCAGGAAGCACCATATTTACAACAACCAACAAAAATTCCAGAGGACCTTCTTTCCATTTAACAACTTCAGCACAAAGACTGCTACAAGCCTCATTGGCCCCGGCAACAAGAAAAGCATATCAACATTCATGGAAGCTTTTCCTTACCTGGGCTGATTCCATATCCTTACCTGTAAAATCCAATACACTCTGCAATTTTATAGGTCATTTATTTGATATTGGATATTCACCAAGCTCAATAACATCACATATTTCAGCTTTGACCTACATTCATAAAATTCATTATATGCCGGATCCAGAGTAGTGTTTCTTAGTGCAAAAATTGCTGAAAGGGTGTCACAAATTAGGCCCAAGTGTTGACTCACGTTTGCCAATAACTGGTGAAATTCTGATCAAGATGGTAAAGGCTTTGAGACACACAGTTCTTGATCATTCCAAAATGTTATTGTCAAAGGCTTTGTTTTTGCTCGCATTTCCGGGATTTTTCAGGTTAGGTGAATTGGTTATAACATCAAAACAAGGGCAGAATATATAATTCAAAGGTCAGATGTGCATTTTGAGGTAGCAAATAACAAATTAACACATGTACAATTGGTCCTACGTCATTTCAAAACCATTAGTTTAGGACAACCTACATTTATTACTTTAGAAACATCAGACAACATCCTTTCCTGTAATGCATTGTTCAAATATCTAAAACATTTCCGTCATTTGAGTGGACCTTTATTTCAGTTCTTAGATGGTTGTCCAGTGACATATTCTTTTGTTTCAAAGAAACTAAGTTAAGTCATCAAATATATTGGTTTAGATCCAAAACAATACAAAGGTCACAGTTTCAGAATTGGAGCTGCTACACATGCAGCGAAACAGGGTTCTTCAGAAAATGCTATTCAAAATATGGGTAGATGGAAGTCAGATGCTGTCAAGCGTTACAATCGTATAGGTTTATTTCCTGTTAAGAGTGATTGAGCATTCTTGACCTGATTGTTTTCATATGTAGTTGACTGTCAGGTATAGGTTTGATACCATCCTTAACCCATAGTAGGTCAGATCATGCCTGCTGCTACTTTCAACTGTCATTGGTCAGTTTAGGTCTGCTATCATCATCAACCCAAAGTAGGTCAGATCATGTCTGCTGCTACCCTTCAACCACAGTAGGTCAGATCATGTCTGCTTTCACGCTCAACCCATGGTAGGTCTGATTAGGTCAGGTACCACCCTCAACGCCCCATAGGTCAAATAAACCCCGTTTCTTTTATTTTGTAGTTTTATGCTTCCCCCTCCCCCTTTATTTTATGATTTTTTACACCAGTTTTCTGCAAGCAATAATCTTTATAGTTATTAATGCTATATAAATATTTTTATGTCTCTTTGTGTTGCTGGCCACCTTACAACTAAATTAAATAAAAACTAAAGTTGTATTTAAATTGTTACAGATCTCACAATTTGTATATATGTTTTCTTTTGATTTTCATCATGTCCCCTCTCTGTCCTTTGGGTGGCGGAATCCAATTGTCAGTGGATTTTGTGGCCAAATTTTGTATATGCCACCCAAATTTTAACATTGTTTTGATTTTTCATATGACAGGGAGATCCCCCTGCCATTGTTGTATATATGTTACCTGGTGATCTCCCATCTTCTAAATGTACATTCATCAATGATAATCATGTCTTGCTTAGACTTTAGGGAGATCCCGCTTTCATTGTGATATTAGGTGCTGAATAAGTCTCTGTACGTTTGTCTGGGATCTGCCTAGGAGTTAAGGTAGTTTATTTGTAATTAGTTGTTTATATTTTTTTGTGATAAGAATCGGACTAAGCGGCTTTAACGACGTTCGATCCTGATATTTAAAGTCTTAAACTTTTTTTGCCAAGTATATTTCTTGTTTCTACATAATAGCTTAATTAAAACTCAAATCAAAAAATGGGGGTCAATATGCTTCTTTTGGCGCCACAGTACATTTAATATGACCTTTTTGCACTGAAATTTGCGTCTTAATCAAAAATTATATTTTTTATCTTTTCCCTCCAAAATTTTTATCCAATTAAAGCATGAAAAAAATGAACTCTTAGTTTGTTTTAAAGAAGACACTTTAAAATTGTGACTAAGAAAAAATTTCAATTTGCTTCGCCTAATCAATTATTTGACCTTTCTGCACTAATAAAATGTGATTTTTCCGGCATTGAAAATTTAATAAGCAAGAAAATTATTTTAAAGTCTTAAACTTTTTCTGATTTTAAGTAAATAGGTCAAGGGTATCTTGAATATTTAGAAAAGAACATCAAAACTGGGGGTATATGATATAAATTTTCAGATATTACTAAAAAAAGTGTCAATTTTACGTTTAAATTGACAAAATTTTCCCCGGGTTTTCCATAGGCGTAGTCACAGGGGGGGGGGGGGCAGCGGGGGCACTACCCCCCCCCCCCCCCGCTACTTTCAGATCTGGGGGGGGGGGGGAAGAGTATGTCTGTGCCCCCTTACTTTTTAATGAAGAACAAAATCAGAGCTATTTTGAAATAATATTAAACCTCATGTTATGGAAATTTTGTTTAAGTTCAACAACTGAGTAAGTATTTGTCTTGAAGTAATAGTTGTATAATATAGTAATAAAATATAGTAATTAAATCGTCAAGACATCCCCCCCACTTTTTTCCCCAACATTACCTTTACTATAGGAAATAGTCATTGAAGGGATAGTTGCCCCCCCCCCCCCCCCACACACACACTTTTTGACCATAGTATAGTGATATCGAAGAATTGTGGGGAAAAAAATTGGAATTGAAAATAAAATTGGAATTAGACGTAACTTGCCTATGAAAAAGTTGGCCACTGGAAGAATTGTGGGAAAAAAATTGGAATTGAAAATAAAATTGGAATTGAAAGTAACTTGCCTATGAAAAAAGTTGGCCACTAGAAGAATTGGAATTGAAAATAAAATTGGAAGTAACTTGCCTATGAAAAAAAATTGGAATTGAAAATAAAATTGGAAGTAACTTGCCTATGAAAAAGTTGGTCACTACCCCCCCTCCCCCCCCTCCCCCCCACGAAATAGGATTTTCGAGTTTGGGGAACTTTCAATTGTTTTTTTTTTTTATTTTTTGCTTGTCAAAGAATTTCTAGAGTTGAGCCCCCCCCCCCATTTTTAAGTTTTTGACTACGCCTCTGTTTTCAGAATATATATACTATATTTGTCACACTTTATTGAAAGAATTCATAAGAAATAATTTAATAGATATTTCAGAACCAGCATAACACATTTCATTGCAAAAAACAGCTTTGTGTGCAACCAGCATGGAACAATAGGAATCCAAAATTAAAAGTACTGTTATAGTTCAAAAGGGGAAAAACATTTTCGTCTAAAAAACCTTCCGCCACAAAATATAGTCCAAAGCTTAATTCTACGTAAATGAAATTTAAGCGCGTTTTTTTTTCATTGAATATAGTTCAATTTGCATTGTGGAGTTCGGATTTAATGTTAGAACTTAAAAATGATGCAGAATTTTATAAATTATGGACATGACCAAAATCCACTTAAAAACTCAGGATCCAACGTCCTTAATTTGTTGTTTAGTTTTGATGTTTTTTTTTCGTTAATACAGTCTAAATTCTCCAATTATTTCAGTTT